GAGCATGTTTGGTGTGGCGGGGATTCGAACCCGCGACCCGCATATTGCGAGTCGAGTACCCTAACCACCTGGCCATGCCGGACCAAATTCGTATTCAAATCAATTTAAGTTGTCTCAACGTTCGTTAGTTCAAAAAATGAAATAACTACTTATTTAAAGTAGCGGGTATTAAGCTTCTTTGAGTTTATAACGAAGCACGTCCATTAAAACATTATCATTTTGAGAGTGTTTTTTTTTTGTCACTTTAATTCTGTAAGACGTACACTTTTTTGACTGCCCTAGAGTTTGGAGAGTATTTTATAAATTATTTATATTATTAAGAGCTTTGTTGGCATAAATCCTGGAAACATTCTTGTATACCTTAAAAGGATATACACAAAATTTTTTTCATGGGCTAGGCCTCTCGAAAAGTGGCATTTTCTGTCACTATTCCTCTTAACTTGACAAGCGATGTCAGCAGCCAACCCTACCCAATTCCCTTTAGCCCATTGAATATGGCTGAACCATACTTACTGTCAAAAGAAATGTCATAAAAATTGTCTTGAAATAAAAACAAAACAAAAAAACTGATCTTATTGCTGTTCTGAATTTCATTAGCAGAACTTGTCTAATATGTTTTCATTAAAAAAATTGAAATGAGTATAAACACAACGTTTCTAATCAATTATATCAGCAGGTCGCATAAAGACTTTCATTGGTTCATTTAATGTTGTTTTTTTTTATCTTGTTCGTTAAAAATCAGTTATATTTTTGGAACTTTCTTCTTTGTTAACACGTTACTTAGTTGGTTTTATTATTGACGTCTTCCTCTTGGTTGCCACAAGGGAACAGTATACTTTGTTACTATAAGATCAGTCTGTCAGTTTCCAACGTGAACCTTTTTCTTGATAACAACAAAATCAATTTATTAGACCTATCGCTCGAACTTTCCTGATTATCTTGAAATCAATCTACCGATCCTCATGCTTGGACTTTTCACTTGATGATTACAAGATCAGTCTGTCCTCTTATTTACACCTTCATTTTGATTACCACATGGCCAGTATGTCAATATTCTTACTTGCATGTTTGTTTTGAACTTCGTACAAAGCTACTCGAGAGCTATGTGTGCTAATCGTCCCTAATTTATCAGAGAAAAACTAGAGGGAAGGCAGCAAATCAACACCACACACCGCAAATTCCTGGGCTACTCTTTTATTCCTCGTCACAATATAACGCCCCATAGCTGAAAGGGCGCGCATGTTCGGTGATGGGATTTGAACCCGCGACCTGGAGGTTGCGAGTCAAGCGCCCTAACTCCAAGACCATGCCAGGCCATATTTCTCCTGGTCACCATAGATTCAATCTATGAGTCTTCTTACTTATGCCGTCCTTATGGTCACCCCAAGAGCTCCATTTCATACTATTACTGATGCTGTTACTTCTTGGTCACTAAACATTTACTACTCAGGCACGTTTGCTGAGACGATACTCTTCTTATTTTCGTCTCAAACCTTCTAAACTGATTTTATCATTATTAAACGTCTAATAAAATCATGTTTTCTAACATTTGAGCAAAACGCTACGTTCAGTGTACAAGTGTGAGTAAGCAAACTACTTGCGAGTGATGGTAGTAATACATTCCTCTATTAAAACGTTAAGTTATATTGGATTTGCAGCTTTTTTTCATGCAAAACATCATCCAATTGTTGCTGCAAAATATTTGAGCTATTAATTGACAATTTACACAACCTAACTTTATATTTAACACGATACTTGGAGACTATTTTATTTCTTAAACTAAGTCTTGGGTATAAAAGCATCAAGAAACTGTTTTCTCTAATAGAATTTTGATAACACGATTTGTATGTTCATGAATAAATTTTTTTATATAGTGGATCTAGCCAAATGACTATCGATATTTTCAGTGAACTCTTGCCCCAACTAGCTTTGTCCTGTATTGAGATCAACAATGTTTTCAAGTGGAGTAAATTGTTTATCTACTATATGTTTGACCTTTAGACTGATTGGTTCAGAAAGTTGTCATATCAGAACATAATCACTGGGCTTACATTTTTCTTATGGATCATACGCTTGAAAATTACTTCTTTCTTTGAAATACTTAGGTATACGTGGATTTATTTCATACACATTACACTAACTTCAGCCGTTTTTTTTTTCCGTATTACAATTCACACACTGTTCAAACTTCAATAAGGTCCTAGAAATTGCAATGTTTTCATTTACTCGAGAGTAAATACCATAAAAAGAATAATTAATGGACGCCTTTCTTCAACATTAGTGAATTGGAAAAAGATATGTCTTCCGAAAGTTTTTCAAATTTACATTTTTGGCTTATTTACTTTTAAGCACAAATCATTTAAAAGATTCCAGAGAAAGTATGTTTTCCTTGTTAATATTTAATATTAGCGTTTACTTTCTTTTCCATTGATGTAATACAATTCTTGGATTTTTAAAACTGTTTAACAAGTGAGTTATGGAACAATTTACAAAACTGTTAATATATATCAATTGAAATGCATATCAAGTCAACTGAACTTTTTTTTTTATTGTGCATGATTTTAAAAGAACTAACAATTAATTAAAAATTATGTAAAAAACACACAAATGATCAAATCTATGCAAATTGAATTATAGAATCTTACATCAACAAATACTCCAGGCATAGCATAGCTCTGGGCAGACGGTTTGTCACGTGGTATGTACCGATAAAATTCTGTATCATTTTTATACCATTTGACAGCGTACAACACATCCGTTTCTAGGTCGTAAGTGCAGTTCAGCCACAAGGGGTCGCCACTTGTTACCACCGACGGCACATGCAGGTTTACCAACCTGAGGCAGCAGCCACCTGGAAAAACAGTTGCATGTTGAAACATATATATAGATCGAGGAAGTATAAATATAGAATAAATTAAAGGTGTTCCTAGTGTGGTAAAAATGGGGCATCGTAAAATTTTTAATGTGTAATTTGTTTCTCAATTTTCTCCTCTATATTATCCAAAATAATCAGAAAATTATCTAGAGACAATAGCAAGCATAATGATTAGGAAGGTGGTCTGGTCATGAGAGCAAGAGTAAAATATGAGGTGTTACAGAGTACTGCTGTTGAGGTCATATATAATTTGCATATGCTTCTTGTATTTGAAATGATAAATTGTGATAAAAAAATCACGAATTTTTTTCAGATGCGTATAGAGGAAGTTAAATTTGATATCACAAAAATTGTTCTTTACATATCTGCCATTGTATCCATCCATCCATTTAAAAAATACAGCTAGATGTACAGAGATAGAGGAAAAAGTGCTGAAACAAGATCTTCTTGTTAAATATTACGAAAGCTTGAAAACAATACTGTCTATTAGGACTCTTTCATTATATAGTCTCCTGCATAAAATGTCTTTATATATTCTTTGATAGATTCTTTAGGCAGAGTATTCATGATGAATCTTTGTAAATGTTATTTAAAAAAACACGTCCTGCGCTATACTTTTAAAAACAATTTCATACTTGCTGTTAATCGATAAAGTAAGACTGACTTTCGTGGTATCTTATTCATATATTCAATAGAGTGAAAGAAATAAAATAAACCTTAAATACAGCTTTTTAGTTTACTGTATACTAAGGGAATCTGGATTATATAAATGTTGTGCTTAGCGATAACTGAGATATCTTGTGAGTCTTTGTATATCTCAAGTACACGTCATTTTCAGACCGTAATCTACAAATGAGATTAAAAAAAAAGACATATAGTTACATAAATGGATCTCATGTCACTAAATGAACTTTAAATCCAGACTGTAATTTACAAATGAGATTACAAACAAACAAATCAAAACAATAACATATAGTTACACAAATGGATCTCATGTCACTAAATGAACTTTGAATCTTGTGCATCGAGACTTCGACATATGCTTTTAAATTAAACTCATTATCAAATTGCTCGCTGCGTAAACCTTAAAGTTTTGATTTTAACAAATTATTTAGTGTGTACTTAGCAGTTAAAATTTTGTATTTTACATTCTTAAAATCTAGAACGCACAATATATTTAAACCTAATAAAACCGAATTATCCAACTATTTTTCTTAAACAAGCGAGGGACACATACATTTTATATAGCATAAGCTTCCCGAAATAATATATTACTACTGATAATACGTTTTATGGATATTATGGATTTTAACTAATAAGCGGTCTTAATGGAGTAACCTGCAAGTATTGTATCTATCTTCAACCGATTTGGACAGGATGCTAATATTTTACAAAGTTATTAGCAGCAAGAAATAATGATTATTTGTTTTAATTTTGCATACAAAAATCCTTCTGTAGACTGACTAAAAGCCCAGAGACATCCAAAAGAACAAACCGAAGGACTTGTTTTTTTAATTTTGCACAAAATATTCTCATACAGATTGATAAACCTCCCAGAAATATGCATAACAGACACTTGGCATCATAAACGTGATATCCAACGAATAACTCAGAAAGAGGGAAATAAGACCCTTTGAAATACACATGAGTCATAATGAGGCGATGTATAATTCAACCCACTGTCTTCTCCCCATTCTTAGCCCTCCCATCTCTTCACTTCCTACCCACTTCGTAATGAGACACAGAGAGGTACAAAACTCGTTAACAATTTCGGAGGACATATGATGGATGAACTGTTTAATAAGAGAAGACGAGATTAGTCGATACCGTCAGTAACAGTTCTTCAGATATGTCAAGTAGCAGTTGTTTCTGACGAACCGAAGAAAATGAGAGCTTATCGTTGACTGCAGCTTTTAGTTAAAGTATTCCAGTAGGCAATGGTTAATGGTTAATGTGATATTTCATAGATTGGTCGGCTTTTTTAAATGTTTCTATGTCTTAAATGTTAGAGTTTCGAATTACGACTCATATCCAGTACACTATATAGAGTAAGTCTGGGTCGTTAAGTTCCTTAGCTCAAGTAGGAGAACTATAAAAACTAGGACTTTTGAATGAAAAATTCCGCGTATCTTTTTCATCTCTGAAACACTGTGGTTCAAATTCAACACTATAAACATTGAACGATTTTGTTTGTTTGTTTGTTTAGGGGATTAAAGCTAAAAGATAAATAATAATTATCATATTCATTAAGCCTTTGTTCTTCTCAGATGTGGGCCTCATCATAATTAACCAACTAATGACAATATTCGTTTAGAAAATGGGAGAGAGGATTCTAGAATGCACAGAATGTTTAGTGAATTTTTATGTAAATATAAGCTTATGCATGTTCAAAACGGTTCTTCAAAAACACTGAGTTATTTCTCAGTTATTTTGAGAAGTTTGTTTCAGGTTAACGTATCACTTTCCTTCAAGGAGAAATTTCATATCCAACTCGTCTAGGAAAAATGTACTGTATTTGTAATGTTAGTAATTTTCTGCTGATCTTTACATTACAAGTGTTTCTAGTATGCTTTTTTGACAATAAGAGAAAAGTCTATTTTAATTTTACGAACCTTAGAATTATAGGTTCTGAAATACAATAAAACAATTTTCAGTCTCTTGAGAATACGCGGAGCTATCGTTTTTATTACATTTTCTTTTAGTTGTATGTTATCAACAACTAAAAAATAAAAATAAATGAAATGCATTCTATTTTCAAAGTCAATTTCGACATATTACCTGAGTTCAGTATCTAGTCTGTATTAAAAGCGCTACTTAACCGTTCATATTAAAATGTTTAGTATGTAATGTGTGTTACAAGTGCAATCTCTAGTCTGTGTTATCACATATTTCTTCATGTCATTCAGAACAGGACCCGAGTATGCAACAGAAGTGCTCCGAGTAGCTTGCGAAGAAACATGACTGCTGAAAACAATAAACATGAGTTAGTAAACGTTCTTAACTAAACATGAAATATTGTTAGATATACACGACTGTTTCGATTTAATTTTAATGCGAGTGTTAAGAGTTAGGTAGTTTATATAGCGTGAGTGTTAAATTATATTATTTTTGCAAACGATAGTTTATCCCAGGTTTGTTTACCTAACTGTTTACGAATCATACTATGTGTAGTTCAAAAATTATGAATTGGTGATTGTTATGTTATCGTATCATGTTACTAGAACCTTTTGAGTTTTTCTCGTTGTTTTAATTGAGTATTATTGCATCATAATATCTAGTAGTGGGTGAAACGTTTTAGACATCTGTCGGGGTATAAATACGCATCGAAAATTTAGTTCGAGCTAGATCTAGACTGCATGATTGTGAGTTTAGCCATAAAGAGCGTATTGTGGCGATTTTTAGTGTGAAATTATCACATCGTGGTATGCTCCACTCAGGCAGAGCAAAGACCCGTCTTGTTTCTTCGTTCTTCGGGTCATGATAGGAGTGTGACTTCGGTGCTTCTTGTTTTTAGATAGATCACTAAAATCAGACATAGCAGACAATTCAGATGTCATATCAGTGACATATCTATTACATGTTCACAACAAGTTGGTCAAACGTATATACAAATGTTTTTACACTGTTGGTTACCACATTTGTATCCAGAGTTTTAAATAATTGTATCTTTTTTTCGTCAAAGTCCACACAGGTTGGTTCAATTACTTTAGAAAACAATTGACAAGACAACTTATTATTCTCTACTCTGTTATTCCAATACAATTTACATGTTATTGCTTAAGCCGCAGGAGGCCATGTAGCATTCTTAACAAAAGGTAACAACCGAACTTGTACTTGCAGATAACTATTGTCACACAGATGAGCAACTACACTTCTCATTCTAAAAGTCTTACAGGTCTTCGAATTTCTAAAGGATAGTTGTTAAAACAGGTTATATCAACATAACTTCTAATGCTGTTTAATGGATAGTTGTTAATATAGGTTATATCAACCTAACTTTTAATGCTGCTTAATGGATAGTTGTTGATTCTAACATAATGAACTATCAGCTAAGTTTGCTACCAGCACGTGACATATGTAACACACTTTAATGTCCAAACTCCTAACGTACATTGTAACACTTTTATCGCAGCATTAGAAGTTAGGTTGATATAACCTGTTTTAACAACTATCCTTTAGCAGCATTAGAAGTTAGATTGATATAACCTATATTAACAACTATCCATTAAGCAGCATTAAAAGTTAGGTTGATACAACCTGTTTTAACCATTATCTTTTAGCAGCATTAGAAGTTAGGTTGATATAACCCGTATTAAAAGTGCTATCTGACCGTCATATTTTTTGCTTCTAGGCTGTGTAAGAAACATTCTTTGACCATTACAATATTTAGTTATTGAGCTTTATTAGGACTGCTTCATGACCATTAACGTTTAGTTTCTATGATAATACTCTATAACCTTTGGAAGGTTGGTTACTAGTCTGTTAGTAACGCTATCTGTAAATAATCACATGAGTTGCTAACCTATGTCAGAAATGTGTTCAGACTAATACTCCTTTGGTTATTGTTTATCTGTGCTAGAAATGTATTGAGACTGTTACACCTTCGGTTATTGCCAACTGTGTTAGAAATGTGTTCAGGCTAATACACATTGGGTTACTAGTTCGTATCATACACGTTATTTCAATGTTACATGTTTATTTTCAAGACTGTTAGAAACACTTAATTGTTCCACTTTTCGTTGCTGCCTGTTGTAGATATGCTGCTCGACTGTTACATGTTTGGTTGCTGCGTGTGTTAGGCATGCTTTATATCTGTTAAATCTTTAGTCGTTCTGTATGTTAAAGATACAATTTAATTAACTCTTAAATTTTGGTAATTCCTTGTATTAAACATTTTCTGTAACACGTTCAGTTGCTCTTTGTGTTGGATATGCTACTGGCAATATAATTTTTCATGGGTATTTTTATGTGGTTAT